GAAGAACTTCCGTTTGAGTATGATGGAAATTGTCGGACAAGTTTGAAGTTATTTCGTAGTCATAGGATTGTGTGTGAATTTCGGTGGAAATTCAGAAGCAAACATCGAAGTTCTAATCTTGGCCTGAGTATGACAGAGAAAGGGGAGCGAGAAGGTGGAACAATACACTCTCGCCGATTTGTCAGATTCTTGATGACTTACATTAGAGTGATTTACTCTCTGCTATATGTCATAATGTGAGCACCATGTAAGCGATGTTAAGTGTATGCCGATACGTATTCGCACAACAATAATATCACTTCAAGCCTCTACGCTGCCAGTACTATGCCGTGAACGCAATAGACCGTATGGATGGGATGTGTCTCCACTGGTAAGAGCTCCGAGCTCCTTCCCTATTGAGCATCCTACAACAAGACTTGAAGGTATACAGACGTCATCAACTATTGAATCGGCACTTGTGGATGATACAACTTCTACGGCAATGGACGTCAATTTACTCAACAAAGGTAGCAACAATCTCAACCCCATTTGTACATGATTTGTCATCAGACCGAGTTCACTAGAACCCGACCATCCTCGGCACTGATTCAGGTTTCTTGGAATTTGATTGCAGAGGTAAAGATTACTCAGACAGTCATCCGGCACATCACCACACAGCTAGCCAGTTGCTCGCATCACAAAATCTGGTCCTCCACTCAACTAGCATGGCCAAACACAACCACGCTACCAAAAACAGCTAGCTCAATTCAATAACAATTCAACAATTGCCATTCTCATGGATGGCATTGCTAGTACTCACGGACCATTACAGACATCGGTTATCACTACTGATGACGACAACATGTATGTTGATGTTGTCCATTACTTACCCTTGCAGGCATCATCTATTGAAAACGTTGGCACTCTCAACGCACCCGGATCCATTTCGGTACCAGGTGACTCCCGCGCCACGGTGGCTGCACAACCTCGCAATTCGACACAGAGCTTTGCCGGAGGATTTGGTCACTTCTTGACAGAGATTTCAGCCACCTAGACCAGCGCAATGATCAAGCACTGCCGACCGCTTCCATCAGCGGGCTGAGAGCTGCGGCTCACCAGGTTATGACGCCTATCAACACTCGACCAAGAGCTTACGATGTTTGGGGCTTTCAGAAACCTTCACTTAAGAGCGGCGGGGATGCCAGTTTACTTTCAAGTCAAGAATGAAGATACACTTTCTATCCTACAACGTGCGCGAGTTTGAACGATGGTGCAGCAATTGCGCACTTGCAGTCTTATAATAAAGATTGCATTCTTGCACTATACGTGATGGCTATTTACGAGCACAAGCTCCGTGGGTTAGCAGCAGTTCAGGTAGGAGGAAGACTCTATAAACATGCCAAATACTTAAGTTTGAAGTCTTCGGTGGGATAGGGCCACTATCGGAATGACCAAGGTGCAGGATCCAATGGGATAATCACGCTTGTTCATCCGCGTTGGCAATGCAAATTTGGAGACTCTAACTCACTTCTGGACAATCGTGCTCATTGGTTTATTTTACACGGCCTTCTTGGAGGAGTCATTGACTTTGTGAACATTTACGCTCGAAATGATTCCTTCACACGTTGTATTCTTTGGAAATCATTGGCACGAGATTGTACTTCTTTCGACGCCTTGCTACTTCCTTGGCATTTGGACCTGATCAACAACAGTTCTACACACCATTTGTGCATCACTCTGAAACTATGTGTGGGCCAGTACGGAAGAAAATGCAAGGGCGCGTGTTCGTTGGGACCACTTCTGCACAGCTAGACACATTGGAGTACTGGGCATCATTGATACGGAGTAGTCACTCATGGCACTTATGTGGAAGTGAGTGATCAAGTTCCCACTACGTCCTCACTTCATATGTCTCTATGACATCGTTTGGCTAGTCTTAGGTCACATGGGTCAGCCTCTTGGTCACGTAGTTTGCAATGAGCACTCTTTGCTAAATTTTCAACACCCCGATGCTACCTTCTATGGAACAGACTTATATAAGTTTGGTATTTTCTTAGTTCATTGATGTATGCTAAACCTCCGACCTCAAGTAAATGCAGAACACTCCGCTCTGGTGGAAGACACATTTTGTTGACAATAACTTTGGTTTTAGCCTACTTCGAGCTCGCCAATTGACAGGTAGAGGATTACGGTGTCTGCGTGATCTTTGATTTTTTGATACCATGCAATTATTGACTTGGCAGGAGCAACAACTCCGACACAGAATGCAAAATCTAAAAAGAAGCCAAATAGACTTGTTTCAGTCCAAGATATTTGCGGAGTGGAAGATCATCCGTCAACGCACACAATTCCAATCGGTTCCAAGAGAATGGCTTGGGATCTATGCTGACAAGGTTGTGGGTGATACTTTGATCATGTTTTAGACATCTTTAGAAATCTTTCCTCCAGTATCGCACGATCGTACAAGCATTTTGATACCAGAAACTCACAGTACCTTCATGGTGAGTACTGAGTTTCGGTCGCTAATACAGTAGAACCTCTATAAATTTATACTCCATAAATTTATAACCTCCAAAAATTTATCAAATTGTGCGGTCCCGGCATGGGACCAGGCCAAAAATTTATAATCTTATAACTTATCAAGTTTTGGTTGCCCCGAATTTTTTATAAACTTATATTCAGGTTGATGTGCTTTCCGAGCTATATTTGTACGACTATGATCGACTAAAGAAACTTGTAATGGTTGTCTGCCTAAGCTTTTGTTCACATTTGTTTGTTGGCTGCTTAAGTATCTGACGTGGGTTAGGGATTTTCCTGGGTTAAGTTGTTGACATTTTGAGAAGTTTTCTTCTACACAGTCCAACTGTATACAGTACGCCAGGATACAGTGCCCTACACACCCCATTACAATACCACAGCCAATACACACGGAACCTGGGTATCAAACAACTTCTATGTCTTTTCGATGTCATGCATTCCTTGCCGTAACCTTTCTAACCTTCCATACCTTTCTGCAACCTTCCGGATGGTTCTGAGACCAATCAAGCAAAATTAAATGAATCAATTTTAATAAACTCTAGAAACTTATCACCTCTATAAACTTATCAAAAAGGACCGGTCCCAGCTTGATAAGATTATAGAGGTTCTACTGTAGCTTTGTATCGACCATCACAGGGCACTAGTATGTACAAAGTTTGTCTTGCTCGCACTGAAATCATTACAATGGATGCGCTAGACACAAAGCAGGTTAAATCCATGCTTAAGTATTTGGCACCCATTGCTCTTCTTACTTTTGATACAGGCTGCTAGACCTAGAGGACTGGTGAGTCACTCTACGCCTACATGGCTAGTCATGGCCGCCATTGGCGTCTTTCGCGACAAACACTTAGGTTGAGCGCTAGTGCCAGCAAACTTTGTTTTCGATTGGGCCGAGGTTTGAATTCCTGACCGCCCCCGCAAGGAAGCGACATTCTTGTGGAGCTTCTATCATTGTGTGATTATCGTCAACCAGTGGCGACATGTTACTCTTTCAACAATTTCTGAAAATTGTAGCTTCTGCGACCAAGGAGTTCCCAAATCATTGATCCATGGCTTTTTTTTTTACTGTGTAGCCGCTCGGAACGCTATCAGATTTTTTGCTATCACATTTTTATATCGTCTTCTTGATATATCCGTGCACACGATGCCTTGAACTCCCTTGATATGGCAACAATGCCATCTTGGAGGCAGAGCTGCCTGCTACTCTTGGGCAAGGTACCAATACCTGGTCGCTCATGTATGTTCGATCATGTATTTACAATACCAGGTATTATCATGTATGACCAAACGCGTGTATTTTCAAGACAACCCAATAGTCCATTGCTCAACAGGAGCGTGCGCTATGGGATGCGAAGGTGGATCTGGCTAGAATGGCATGGTTGTTTGTTCAATTGCTAGAGAAACAGCAACCGGCTGCAAAATGTTCCTGAGTCAGGGGACTCTAAATGAAACTATATGCACATTTGAAGGTGATAAGGTTAGATGGGTGCATACACACCCGATTAGAGGTATGTTCATCTAGTTAGTTTTGGTTGGTTTTATCAGGTAGTTGAAAACTTAAATATTACCCTTCAGGCTTGCATTTCTCGGTTCTGCGGCGGTTTGTATTTTATTCTTATTGCAGTGGAATTTTCACCATTTGTCTCAAAAAATTCAAAATATAACGACGTGCTTTTGTTAAGAATAGTTGAAGCCACGAAGTTCATATATGCCACTTTCGTGCGATTTCACATTAGTTGATGCTTGTGCAGTTTTCAGAATATTTTAACCATATATTGTAATCCTTCTTTGCTTCCCTTGGATTATCCCCGTGTTGAACTGAGGTGACGAGCTTCGAGATTAGTCTAAGTTTGGACGTCTGCCCACTCAAATGCAAAATGGGGGAGAGGAGAGATCAAACCTGCTACAGGTGTGGTAGCTGCTCACGAGCACATCTGGAAACAGCAAGAGGAGCGAGAAAGTGCTCGCGATCCAACACTTAGAGGTGCCAACCGCCGAACCGATAGTAGGTATCAATACTCCAAGAAAGTTGCGAGCCTCGTGAGCAAAAGGAGAATGTACAACTGCTTTATCCCAAGTGGGTAGAACGCTCCATGTCTGTAACTTCGAGAATTTGACGTTTATATAAATAGACTAGTTGTCATGAGAAGCCGGAATATAGCATTCTTTGTCGAGAGCTGATTTTGGCATGCTCGTCAACAGGCTGGTGTTGAATGTCCTGAGGAATGTATATATATCAGATGCTTGGGCTTTCATCAAACAGGAGGAAGCAGTCTTGACTTGCTGCAAGCGTAAACGAATCCAATCCGGAAGCCAGCGACAGACTAGATTCAGCAGTCTCAACATCCAGTCGCGCTTCTCGCTCTGACATCCAGAGTGAGTGAGTTTCGTCCCAAACGACGCTTCTCCAGGGCTTGAGCTCCTTCGATCGGGATTCCGAAAGCCACAAGCTTCTCTTCTGCAGGACCGAGAACGCATCGACAATGTCGTACCCAACGCACGAACGTGATTTGGAAAAGGCATCTCGATTGGAGGATCTCCTGTCCAGACCCATTCATACAAAATCTGTGGTTGCTAACCCTGCTCCTCTGGGGCTCATGGGATTCGCCTTGACGACATTTGTGCTGTCTTGCCACAACGCTGGAGTGATTATTCCACAGAGTGCTCCTCATACTGTCGTCACTGGTTTGGCTGCTGGCTACGGTGGATTGGCGCAACTTCTGGCTGGAATGTGGGAATTCTCGACTGGAAACACTTTTGGAGCCACTGCATTCTCGTCATATGGTGCATTCTGGCTGTCGTTCGCTGTGATTCAGATTCCGGCCTTCGGTGTTCGTGCTGCGTTTGTGGCCAGCGAGTCTCTTGTCGACTACAATGAAGCTCTGGGGCTTTGGCTGCTGGGCTGGACGATTGTAATAACCCACTAAAGGCTAAAACTGCAATATAGTGGTAGAAAGGTCGAACCCACAGGGACAGAGGAACACACAGGGTACAAAGTGTCACGTTTTAACAGACTATTGAGGAGTTTGAATTCTCAGGCGACTGTCACTCCCAGAAATACTGCAAGTGTCCACTCGGAGCGCACTCGGAGGTCGCACAGTGCAGCGTAACACACACACGCACACACACCTGAAACTACAGAAACACAACCCAGAGATCCGTTAGGACCTCTACTTCAAGATTTCAGGGGGAAAGTCTCTCAAGAGTACACTCGGCAAAGCTGCGGGCAGTGACTTCCAACTCCGGCTTTTACAACACTTCCACTAGCTTGCTGCTAGTGTAGGAAACCCGGTTTGGACTGCCTACTTCGGATCGAAGTCACTCCTACGCGGTGAACAACACTCTCAACTCACAAAACGCGCAGAGAACACAGGTCCGCACTGAAGGATTCACTGTGAAACATTCCAGTAACACAACAACAGTCTATTGAAGAGTTTGAATTCTCAGGCACTTGTCATTCCCAGAAATACTACAGGGGTTACCCTCAAGGCACCTGCTGCAGCGTAACCTGAATTTACAACCAAGGCTTACACGAAGTAGCAAAACTTCACTTTGGCATTCAGGGGAAAAATCCCAAGGGAGTACAATCAGAAAGGAACACTCGAAGGTGTAGGGGCGAAACTGTTCAAGTATCTAACTAGTCACTGGCTCTGAGCATCGGCAGTCACCCGCGGGTGCAGATCCGAACTACTCAAGTCTCTAACCAATGTACTAGCTCTGAACATTCGGCCGAAGGCCTTCAGCTACAAAATGCGGAACGCTAAGTTGTAACTCCTCGTACGTGGTGACAGAACTCAAGGACACAAACACGCAAAGGAAATGGGTTCCTGATCTGCACTTCTGATGGGAAAGAACCCCAGGCAAAACGCCTGGAACTATTTTATACCTTCTAAGTCCTACCTAGCACTACACTGCACTACGCTACACGCCTGCACGGAACCACGCTACACTACACTCCGCGGAACCTGTACTACGTCTCCTACGCGGCCGACTACCGCGCACTAACTCCCTACCCTGCCACTCTTCCGCTCGACTACGCAGTCCCAACCGCTGCAACGCCGCGGACACCTCCCCCTCGAGGGCGGACATGGTATCCTGTGCCTTCGACAGAAAGGCCTCGAGCTTCTTCGCTACCTTCCGCCGACTCCTACTGTCGCCTGACAACAACCCGGCTGCGCGCAATTCAAACTCACGCAGTGTGAGTTTCTCCTGCGCCTTCACTTCCCAGTGGGCGTAGCCCTTGAGACAGTGGGCGACTCGCCTCGCCGTCTCCACCTTCGTGCGATCCGCCTCCTTCCTGCGATCCTCTTCAATTGTCACTAATTGCGATTCGGCTTCAGCACGTTGCGCCCTCAATTCGCCACACTCTGACTGTAACCTGCGGATTAATTCTTCATCCGCCTGCCGTGCGAGCTGACATTGTTCCAACAACCGCGTCTGTCGCACGAGCTCCTCTGACAAAATCCGATTCTGGGCCTGCTTAGAATCGAGTGCTTCCTTGACCTTCACCTGCTCCTTGGTGAGCTCGCCCAGTTTCTCATCCTTCATCTTCTCGGAGTGCTTGTAGAATTTCTGATTAAGCTTGTACTGTCCCCACAAGCACTCATGCTTCTACTTCAAGTCCCTCAACTCCTGGTCCACTCTAGCTAATAGCTTGCTGGTGTGGACTTTAGTGCGAGTCCGCCTGCGCACTAACTCGATGTAAGATCCCGGCTGGAGTGGGTCGGCGTATTTATCGACCTTGCGATCCAAGTACCGCAGCAACGGAATCACCTGCTCAGAGAGCGCCACCGCCGGCGCTCCAACAATTTCCTCCTCCTCCTCCTCGGTGTCTTCTGCTCCTGACATTTCTTCCGTGGAGCCTCCGTCGTCATCATCCGAGTGGAGAATTTCAGTCGCCATTGATTGTGTCGGCGACTGCCCCGAGTGGGGCTGCACGTCCTCGACGTGTGCTGCCTGCGAAGGCACGGCTGCATCCTCGCTGCTCGTCGCCAAAATGTCTAAGGCGGAAGGCGAATGTATCCGAGCGGCATCCCCGTCGCTCGCTGGTTGATTGCCTACCGCATTCTCTCTGTCGCCGTCGTCCGTCGCCGAAGGCGATTGAGCGGAGGGTGGCTGCGCGGGGTTGGATTGCGCATCGCGTATCGAGATTTCATCCCGCGGACAGTCACTCCGCTCCTCCGTCTGCTGCTCCCTCGATCGGTCCGTGGGGGCTGTGCCCGGCCCGTGCGCAGGCGCATTTGCCGGCGCCTTGTCCGTCGCAGGCGTAGCGCCGCGGACATCTATCGCCGAAGGCGACATGGCCGGGGGCCGCACGCCCGATGTTCCTTGGCCTATAGGCCCTACCGCCGAAGGCGCATCTATCGGCGGACTTCCCGCCGATGGTGCGGCCTCCACACGCTCTCTGCTCGTATCTCCTCGGCTCGAAGGCCCTGGCGCCGAAGGCGCAAATTGCGGCGCGTGGTGCGCCGGAGGGTCTGGCCCCGAGGGCCGGTGTCTCGTAGGCGGTTCTTCCGCCGGCTCCTTCCCCTTCCTGCGTTGGAACGGGGGTGATTCTTGCCTGTGCACAGGCGGCACGTGTGGAGGTGTCCTGTGCACAGGCGACCTGTGCACAGGCGACCTGTGCACAGGTGAGCGCCTGTGCACAGGCGGACTGCTCCTTCCCACGCGTAAGCGTAGATCCACGTCCACTTGTGTTCGCCGGTCCGCGGAGGCTCGTCCGTCCGCGGAGGTTCGCCTGTGCGCAAACGGAACATCTGTCCGCATCGCACGTGGTAACTCCGGAGGCCCTTGGCCCGTAGGCGGCCTCTCTCCCGACGAGGTTGCAGCGTGGCCCGTTGTTCCTTGGGTCGTCCGTGCTTCCTCTCGCCTTTCTGGCGACGCACTTCCTATCTCCGTCGCAATCGTCGCCGTGTCTGCACTGTCAGCTGGTAACACCAGTCTGCGTGCCTTCTGCTTCGGCCGGCTGTATGGCTCGCACAGCGGCCGCGGTCGAATGGGAGCAGAGGGTTCTTGATGCTGCTCCTCTTCGGACTCTTCCCTCCATCGCCGCTTCCGCGGCACTCGCGCTGCAGGAGTGTGTCTCCCTTCATCCCTCCGTCTTGATGGGGTAGAAGTCGGTGACTCCTCCGCATCAGTGTCGACCTCGTTCTCCCGCACATACTTCCCGGGATGGTCGATGGACAATGGCGGAAAATGTTCAAGCTCCGCCGCTGTCAAACAATTCCGCTGTCGATAAAAATTGATGAGGAAAGGAGAAAGATGGTTTAGAGTTCCCCCCTTCTCCTCAAACGCGTGCTGTCGCATCACCCTGTGCAGGATGCTCGCCCAGTGAATTGGAGTTCCCTCGATGACGCACTCCACAAAAGAGACCTGCCACAATGTGATGTAGCAGGCGCGGTGCGGCTGCAGTAATTGCATCAGCGCCGCGGACAGAGTCCGGCGAAATCGATCCTTGTAATCACGGGTCCTGTACCCATTCTTGGTAGACCTCCCGGTCTTGAACAGCTCCACAAATTGTGCCTCTTCTTGCTTGGTCACCTTGATGCTCTCACTGTCGAAAAGAAGATGCCCTGGCATGCCAGCACATCTTCCCAACGCCTGCGCCCAATCTTGGACTGTCCACCGGTCAACATGCGGACGCAATCCGCGCGAGGGTGGTCCCTGTGGCTCTAGCCACTCGCGCACCATATTCGCGCAGATGTAATTCCATCCCCATAGCAAGAAATCGAGCTTTCTTGCTATTAAGCGCTCTTCGAAAGCGCGCAGCCCGTTCTGCGGCAGGCGAAGTGGCACCATCCGCAATCTGCTCGGTCTCGTCATTGCGTTCCTGGGGTTCGCTCGCCCGCTCATTCTACTTCCGCACTGTCCGCGTTTCCTTCTCTCTCGGCAAACTCTAATCGCTCTCAATTCCAAATCACGCGCACTCACTTCTCCCTCAATCAACAAGAAATCTCTTGTGTGACGACGTCGAGAATGGTCCGCAGCCAGCAGATGGATGCGCGCAGCGCGCACAAGAGATTGGAATCGCAAATTCAAGAATGGGACGTTCTCCGCCGCCCGGTCGAAGGTCATGGTCGGCTCTTGGTCGTGAAGAACGTCTCACTTGATGGCCGCGCCGGCTGTACGCTGGAACGGTCTTCGCTCTCACGCGCGGCTTCACGCTCCGCCGTCGTCGATTAAACTCTCACGCTCGAATTGGCGGATTTGAACTCCGCGAGCGTGTCACCCTGTGGACATGGGGGCGTAGCGCCGAAGGCGAGTTTTCCGCCTTGCGCGGTACACTTGTTCGTACCGCCCCTCGGCCAATCTCCTTCTGCCTTGACGCGTGTGTCCGCATGTCGGACAAAAATTCAACTCCTGCCTGTGCGCAGGCAGGGGCCTCGGCGGATTCTCCGCCGGCGCGGAACTTGAACATCCTCCTGTGCACAGGCGTTCGCTTGTGCGCAGGCGAATTCCGTCCGCGGCGCTGCGCTGGCGCGGAAGGCGTTGACCGTGGTCAGCCGTCTCCGTCCAGTCTGTCCGTTCCTTGTCTCTCCGTCGGCGCTTCCGCCGCCGCAACTCCGTCCGTCCAAGAGCGCATCCACCCGTGCCGTCCGCACGGTCCGTACCTGTTGGATTACTCTGGCGGCTCTTCCGACGTACGCGGCGCTGCGCTGGCGCGGAAGGCGCCGTACACTTTCTACCTCACAAGGCGCATTTCTAGGGCCCAAGGCGGATTTTCCGCCGACGCCGAAGTGCCTGTGCACAGGCGTACGCCTGTGCGTAGGCGGACTTCGCGCCTTCCCTAACCCTACTTCGCCTGTGCACAGGCGAACGCCTTCGTCCGTGCATAGGACAAAACTTGAATCCCCCCTTCCGCGTAGGCGGAATTCGCGCCGGTGGCGAACTCCTTCCGCCGTAGGCGACCGCCTCCGTTTCTTCCAGT